GTGTCATCTGTCCACAGTATATTCTGCCAGTAGTGCTGTGGAACATCCAGGTGCTCTTTTGCAAACTTCAAACGTGCTGCAATCTTCTTTTTGGCCAGCAATGGCTTCCTCCGTGGTGTCCTCCCATGTACTCCATTCTTGGTAAATGTTTTCCTTATTGTAGATGTGTCAACAAAAATGTTAGCATGTGCCAGAGATTTCTGCAGGTCTTTAGCTGACACTCTGGGATTCTTCTTTACCTCATGCAGCATTCTGCGCTGTGCTCTTGCAGTCATTTTTACAGGACGACCACGCCTAGGGAGAGTAGCAACAGTGCTAAACTTTCTCCATTTGTAGACAGTCTGTCTTACCGTGGACACATGAACATCAAGGCTCAAGGAGATACTTTTGTAACCCTTTCCAGCTTCATGCAAGTCAAAAATTCTTGATCGTAGGTCTTCTGAGAGCTCTTTTCTGCGAGGCATGGTCCACATCAGACAGTGCTTCTTGAAACCAGTAAACCCAAAACAGGTGTGTTTTTTAAGGGCAGGACAGCTGTCAGCAACACATCCAATATCATCACACTGATTGGAGTCAAGGTTGGCTCACTCCTGGCTCCAATTAGCTCTGGGAGAAGTCATTAAGCTAGGGCCTCACATACTTTTTCCTCCTGCACTGTGAATGTTTACATGTTATGTGCAATTAAACCATGGCAACATCTAATGTTTGTGTAGTATTATGTTCAGCAGACTGTGTTCTTCTATTGTTGTGGCTTAGATGACGTTCAGAGCACATTTTATGCCCAATTCATGCAAAACTCCACGTAATCCCAAGGGGTTCACATACTTTTTCTTGCAACTGTATATATATCCATTCAGTCGTATCTGACCCTTGGCGATTGCATGGACTGTCACTTGCAAGCGACTTTTGTCCATGAATTCTCTTAGCAATTATTTTTACAGGGTAGGTTGTTAGGTCTTTCCCCAACCCCCACCTTGCAGGAGATCCCACATGGCCAAGGATGAAACTAGGACAATTTAGACAGGAGCCAATTAACCTACCAGCATGTCTTTGGAGTGTGAGAGGAAACCCATGCGAACACAGGGAGAACATGCAAACTCCATGCAGGAGGCGCCGTGGTGGGAATCGAACCCATGACCTAATTACTGCAAGGCAGAAGTGCTAACCACTAAGCCTCTGTGGACTGACAACTCATGGGGCCCCAGGGAAATAGAGGATCATGAGGCCCCTGTGTCCTCGCCCACACTCAAACCACACCCAAAAAAGCCTATAAAAGGTACCAGGAGCATCTCATGGGGCCCCCTACTGACCCCGGGCCCTCAGGCAGTGCCCAAGTGCCTGAATGGTCAGTCCGCCCCTGACATATATGTGTGTGTATGTATAGGGCCAGCAGGACTAGCAGTGTTCAATACTAGGAGCAGATGGGAGATGTCAGTAAAGTTCTCCGGGTGTATCGGCACAAAGTCAAGTAATGGATCACTAATGGGCTAGCAGCATTGTCGGATAGATGTGAAGGGAGGGAGAGGGGAAGGTGTTCGGTCCAACCATGTAGTTAGCCTTCCACAGCACATAGGAAGATGGTACAAATAGGGGCGGGGGGGCTGACAACTTATGGGGCCCCCGGGCAATAGGGGATCATGGGGCCCCTGTGTCCTTGCCCAAACTCAAAAAAGCCTATGAAAAAGGTACCAGGGGCATCTCATGGGGCCCCCCACTGACCCTGGGCCCTTGGGCAGTGCCTGAGTTTCCAAATGGTCAGTCCGCCCCTGGGTACAAAGTACTGTGTACTCTTTTCCATGGGAGACGTATAGAACATTGTAATATACAAGAAGTTATGCACCTTCCCCCACAGCGATATCATTTAGGAATGATAGAAAGGATCGTAATATACACTATATAGACAAAGGCAGAACCATTTCTGCCTTTGTCTATATAGTGAGGTTGCCCCCATGTACATACATATCTACAAATAATACATTAAAAAAAAACAAAAAAACACTATATTGCCAAAAGTATTGGCCCCGCCCTCCCAATCATGTGATTCAGGTGTTCCAATCCCCTCCAATCATGTGATTCAGGTGTTCCAATCCCCTCCCAATCATGTGATTCAGGTGTTCCAATCCGCTCCATATCATGTGATTCAGGTGTTCCAATCAGCTCCATATCATGTGATTCAGGTGTTCCAATCCCCTCCCAATCATGTTATTAAAGTGTTCCAATCCCCTCCATATCATGTGATTCAGGTGTTCCAATCCCCTCCCAATCATGTGATTAAAGTGTTCCAATCCCCTCCATATCCTGTGATTAAGGTGTTCCAATCCCCTCCTATCATTGATTAAAGTGTTCCAATCCCCTCCATATCATGTGATTCGGGTGTTCCAATCCCCTCCCTATCATGTGATTCAGGTGTTCCAATCCCCTCCCAATCATGTGATTCAGGTGTTCCAATCCCCTCCCAATCAATCATTCAGATTCAGGTGTTCCAATCCCCTCCCAATCATGTGATTCAGGTGTTCCAATCCCCTCCCAATCATGTGATTCAAGTTTTCCAATCCCCTCCCAATCATGTGATTAAGGTGTTCCAATCCCCTCCCTATCATGTGATTCGGGTGTTCCAATCCCCTCCCTATCATGTGATTCGGGTGTTCCAATCCCCTCCCTATCATGTGATTCAGGTGTTCCAATCCCCTCCAAATCATGTGATTCAGGAGTTCCAATCCCCTCCCAATCATGTGATTCAGGTGTTCCAAACCCCTCCCAATCATTTGATTCAGGTGCTCCAATCCCCTCCATATCATGGTGATTCAGGTGTTTCCAATCCCCTCCATATCATGTGATTCAGGTGTTCCAATCCCCTCCATATCATGTGATTCAGGTGTTCCAATCCCCTCCATGGACACAGGTGTATACAATCAAGCCCCTAGGCATGCAGACGGCTTCTACAAACATTGGTGAAAGAATGGGTCGCTCTCAGGAGCTCAGTGACTCCAAGCGTGGTCCCGTGATAGGTGGCCACCTGGGCAATAAGTCCATCCGTGACATTTCCTGGCTACTAATATAAGAGTCTGGTATGGATTTTGTAAAAGAATTTGGCGTGGGGGGTTCCCATCAAAATCCATACCAGATCCGAAGGGCTTGGTATGATGGGGGTGGGGCCACAAGTTTTTTTTTTTGTTTGTTTAATTGCCACATTTCTTTTTACATGCAGCGGAATCCCACTGACATATGTCTGATATTTTCACTGGCAACTGATGAGTGACCACACACAACCTTTTTTTCAGTTGGCAGTTACATAGTTAGTCTGCCTGAATAGAGACAAAAATCCATCCAGTTCAACCATTAAAAAAAAAAAAAAAGTTATAATTCAACACCCACAGTTGATCCAGAGGAAGGCAAAAAACCCAGCAAAGCACGATCCAATTTGCTCCTGCAGGGGAAAAAAATCCTTCCTGATCCCCCGAGAGGCAATCGGATATTCCCGGGATCACCTTTCCCTATAAATGTTATATCCAGCCCCAGGTTGTCAGAGCATGACAAAGAAACAATTAGTTGTCAGGGGCATCACCAGCTTCAGTGCTGGCAAACAAATCCACAACCACAGACCAGGGGTGGGCTGACAAATCACGGGCCCCCGGGCAATAGGGGATCATGGGGCCCCTATGTCCCTTTGCCCACACTCAAACCACACCCAAAAAAGCCTATGAAAGGTACCAGGGATATCTCATGGGGCCCCTTACTGACCCTGGGCTCTCGGGAAGTGCCTGAGTTCCCAATTGGTCAGTCTGCCCCTGCCACAGACATGAAGTGCAGTGTATACGGGTACATACAGTACATAGTTCAGTGGCAGTTCAGTTGGCAGTTGGTAGGAGATCACAAGGCTGCTTCCGTTTCTCTTGCGGCTGCTGCCAATGTCAGTTGGCGGAGTGTGCGCACGCCGTTGTCGCAAAGCGTTTTGTTGTCGGAAACATTGATATAGTCCTCCCATTCTGTTAAATCCGAGGACGTCCTCTGGTAGAACATAAAAAATATCATTTGATTTTTTTTTTTTTCCCCTATTTCCCGCGAAGATTCCTCGTTTTATTGACGGCGTCGAGCCTTGCGCTTGTCTCCAGCTGGTAATGTAAAAACGTGTTCTTCATAATGGCCGTCTGCAACTTTTAATGATATTATTCCGTCAATGAGAGCCGGAGGGGAAGCCGTTTGTCTTTGTTTTCCATCTACAATCACAGCGCGGAGATAGCTCCCAACGCCTGATTTATTAACAATGCGAGTTTACAAGCCGGCCGCTATTGATGAATGGCTGCAATTTTATACCGCGACGATCGATAGCCTTTAATCGAGTCAAATCTGACCAAATGACATTAAACGGAGATTTCAGCCCGGAGTCAAACAAATGAATTTATAGAAAGCCGAACACTTCTGGACCCTGCCGGGCTGAGAGTCGTTTTTTTTTTTTTTCGGTTTGACTTATGAAAGCAATGTGTTCTGTGTGTCTGGGGTACGAGATAATACGGCGTTGTAAGTGCGTCATACAGGACGGCGCCGAATTCCCACGGAGTGTCCGGTCTCTGCGTTGGTGTTATGCAGGCCATAGACCAGCCGTTGAAAAAAAAAAAAAAAAACGAAAAATCGGTCGTTTGATTGGCTGACGTTACCACCAACCCGTCTACGGCCGGCATTTAACCCCATAATTACTTCTGTCCCTGCAGAGAGCGCCGCTATTATATTTTACATGAAAGTTTTGTGGCTGCAACAATGTATCCATTTGTATCCATTTCGGATATTATTTGGATACAAATGGATACATTGTTGCAACTGCAAAGACTTTTTCATATAAAATATAATAATAGCGGGCTGGAATTCTTCTTCTTTTTCTTTTCTTCTTCTTCTTCTTTTTCTTTTTTCCTTTTCTTCTTCTTCTTCTTTTCTTCTTTTTCTTGTTCTTCTTCTTCTTTCCTCTTCTTCTTGTTCTTCTTTTTCTTCTTTTTTCTTTTTCTTCTTCTTCTTTTTTTTCTTCTTTTTCTTTTTTACTTCTTTTTCTTCTTCTTTTTTTCTTCTTTCTTTTTTTTTTCTTTTTCTTCTTCTTCTATTTTTCCTTCTCTTTTTTTCTTCTTCTTCTTTTTCTTCTTCCTCTTTTTCTTTTTCTTTCTTTTTCTTCTTCTTCTTTTTCTTTTTCTTTTTCTTCTTCTTTTACTTCTTTTTGCAGGTCACGGCTCATGCGCAGATTTTTTATCGGAAAACAATCGGCTGATTTGCCTATCATTGCCCGGAAAAATCGTCCGATCATCAAAATCGGCCGCAAATTTTCCAACATGCCCAATTAAAAAAATGTGCAAAAAGCTCGAAAGACGGCCACCGAATTAACCCACTAATGGTGCGAAAATTGGCCGATTTTTTCGACCCGTCTATGGCCCCCATTACCTCTGGAACAATGTGATACATTAGAAGAGACATCTCTGTAATTGTAACATTTCACTGACGATTATTGCCAATTGCTTTGAACAGAACAAAAGTGGAGTTCCGGCCCCCGCCACCTCCCGCCCCCCAAAAAAATGAAAGCTCCACGCACACGGGGCATTTTTAATAACTCTGGTAGCGTTAGCTGTGTAATGTCACATTATTCAACATTTTTCACCATTTTTGCATTAGCATTTAGCCACGTTTTTATGCTTTTACGTTTTTTTAGCATTTTTATTTTGCTCAAGAAAATGTCCAAAAACGTTGGTTTGCCGCGTTTTACCGCATTTTGTCGTGTTTTTCAGCGTTAGTGTCCATGCACACAGAGACTGGAATCAACGTTTTTAGGCTGGGGGAAAAAAACCCAGAACTAGGGTGTTTCTAGAGGAGTTTTTGCAGGGGTAAGAATTACGCAATGCACAAAGTGCAGGAGCCAGGAGTAAGTAACGCACAAAGTGCAGGAGCCAGGAGTAAGTAACGCACAAAGTGCAGGAGCCAGGAGTACGTAAAGCACAGAGTGCAGAGGTCAAGAATAAGTCAAGCACAAAGTTCACAGGTCAGGAATAAGTAATGTGACAAGTACAGGGGTCAGGAGTAAGTAATGCAAAAAGTGCAGAGGTTGGGAGTAAGTAAGCAATGCACAGGGTGAAGTGTCAGGAGTAAGAAATGCACAGGGTGAAGTGTCAGGAGTAAGCAATGCACAGAGTGAAGTGTCAGGAGTAAGCAATGCACAGAGTGAAGGGTCAGGAGTAAGCAATGCACAGAGTGAAGTGTCAGGAGTAAGAAATGCACAGGGTGAAGTGTCAGGAGTAAGCAATGCACAGAGTGAAGTGTCAGGAGTAAGCAATGCACAGAGTGAAGGGTCAGGAGTAAGCAATGCACAGAGTGAAGTGTCAGGAGTAAGCAATGCACAGGTGAAGTGTCAGGAGTAAGCAATGCACAGGGTGAAGTGTCAGGAGTAAGCAAAGCACAGGGTGAAGTGTCAGAGTAAGCAATGCACAGAATGAAGTAAGCAATGCACAGAGTGTCAGGAGTAAGCAATGCACAGAGTGCAGGGATCAGGAGTAAGCAATGCACAGAGTGCAGGATCAGGAGTAAGCAATGCACAGAGTGAAGGGTCAGGAGTATGCAATGCACAGAGTAAAGGGTAAGGAGTAAGCAATGCACAAAGTGCAGGGATCAGGAGTAAGCAATGCACAGAGTGAAGGATCAGGAGGGCATAAAACACAGAGTGCTGAGGTCAGGAGTAAGCAATGCACAAAGTGCAGGGATCAGGAGTAAGCAATGCACAGAGTGAAGGGGTCAGGAGTATGCAATGCACAGAGTAAAGGGTAAGGAGTAAGCAATGCACAAAGTGCAGGGATCAGGAGTAAGCAATGCACAGAGTGAAGGATCAGGAGGGCATAAAACACAGAGTGCTGAGGTCAGGAGTAAGCAATGCACAAAGTGCAGGGATCAGGAGTAAGAAATGTACAGAGTGAAGGGTCAGGGAGTAAGCAATGCACAGGAGTGCATAGTCCATAGGGTGCCGGAGTTAGGAGTAAGCAATGGACAATGTGCAGGGGTCAGGAGTGCATAGGGTGCAGGAGTTAGGAGTAAGTAATGCACAAAATAAGGGGTTAGGAGTAAGGGGAAGGTAGGCATAATGAATCTTATACCTTCCTAGAGCTCACATACAGAATGTGTCCTGGACTGCACCACGTCTCTGGAATACTTTCTTTCACTCTGTCAATAAATGCTTCAAAGCCTAAAAAAAAAACATCGCTTTAGGTGATCTTATCACATTCCCAAATCTTCTTTTTTCTTCAGCTTCTTCACAGGCCTGTCTAGTGCGCACACCTTTACATGCACTTCTTGTTTGGACTTATTTACTAACCCTAAACAATTTTTTACTGCTGAATTCTTATCACCTGACCCTAAATCATGAATTAATGAATCAACTGCGAGGGAGCGTGAGCTGCCTGCATCTTAGCAACCATTATTGGCATGAGCTG